AGAACTGTGAACACATCAGGAACACATGCATGTCCCAAAGGGAAAATGTGCAACTTCTCTCCTTTTCCCTGAAACCCATAACCGTGGAATGAAAGTAATCACTGATGCATCCTGTATATATGCCTCAGCCCAGTATACCTGAAGGAGCATCTCCACCCCCATCGTTCTGCCCGGACGCTGAGGTCCAGCTCCAAGGGCCTTCTGGCAGTTCCCTCATTGCGAGAAGCAAAGCTACAGGGAACCAGGCAGAGGGCCTTCTCAGTAGTGGCGCCCACCCTGTGGAACACCCTCCCATCAGATGTCAAAGTGATAAACAACCACCTAACATTCAGAAGACATCTGAAGGCAGCCCTGTTCAGGGAAGTTTTTAATGTGTGACATTTTAATGTATTTTTCATTTTTGGTGACGCCCAGAGTGGCTGGGGAAACCCAGCCAGATGGGCGGGGTACACATAATAAATTATTATTATTATTATTATTATTATTATTATTATTATTATTATTATTAAACTATAACATGCTTTGGATAAAGGTGACCAAGGCTGAGTGCTTCTCATAGGGGTGGCCAGCACCATGGGGCAAGGGTGCGCCACTGTCCTCCTGGTGCGTCCACACAGGACCAACTTTGCCACCACCCTGTACCACTTCCACACCATCCCACTAAGTGGCAGAAGCATCTCTGCCAGGACGCTGCCCAACCCTGCAGGTTGGTCCTGCACAGAGATACTTCTGCTTGCTCCAGTCCAACATCAAAACATTAATGAGCACATGAAACATTTGGCACCAGATTGGTAGTATTCTCAATGAAAAAGTAGGCATGTAATAAACTTAGTCAGCAAACCAGTTAAACAGGACAATGTAAATCAGATGATGCTGTAGCTGAAATGTTCAGGGTCAGTTATCTTTCCACGCTGCCTAAATAATTTGAGAATAGTCAAGGTTTTGGTTAGCCAGCATTTGTCAAATGCTATTGCTCCTATGACGACTGCTGGTGCCTGAACTGAGGGATGTTTAATAGACATGGTGCTTAGTTCCCAAATTCTTGGTTCTGTTGTTCCTAAGCTTAGTTCCCAAATTCTTGGTTCTGTTGTTCCCAAGCTTCCATTGAGGCGCTAGCTTTAGAGCTTTGGTAGCATACTTGAAGCATGGCTGACCTATCAGCTGCATGGGTAGAACTGAGTCGGTGCTAGACTGTGAATTTAGATTACGCATATAAAAAGTACTCTGTTTCAGAGAAGGCATCCTCTTCCATTAAATAATTAAATAGACACACACACACCCCAATCCTACTAAATTTAAAATAACACAGTCCATTTATTCTGGCAAAAAATCATTTGGAAATTATGTTTGCCAAAATATTTCTGTGGCTCTGATCTTTTTCAAGTGGCTCCTTCTCAATAAAATCCAGATGCCACCCATCCATAAGGCCCTACAGGCTGCTGTTTATGTCCATGAAAGATGCCTTTGTCATTCATTAATCTCTCCAAAGCTGTGGCAGGACATGCCTAGTGGCTCCCAACAACATGCAATCCGTGGCTTCAGCCTGCCAAGTGTTGACACAAGCAGACAAAGATAGCATTCATCTCCCAGTTCTGAAGAAGACTAATGTGCTACAAAGATGCCACCTAAAAGTTTGAGTTCCCCGGTAAATCAAGATATGAGCAATCAACTTTCTGTGTTTGCTTTGTTAGGGTAGCATTTCAGTGGCTCCTCTCATTCTTAAGAATGGGTAATTAATGTTGGACTTGGCAATATCTGGCCCTATTGTGAATCATCTGGGAAAATCTTTGTTTGCTTTTATGGGACTGGGTTTTGGCTGACCCTTTCTGTAAGCATCCTTTTTAAAAGAGGAAGCTCACAGAAGTCTGTCTTTAAAGTTAGATGATCCTACAGTGCTCTGTTACCATCTAACAGTTATTAAGCTCTTTCAGGTGTTTGAAAACAGTAAAGAACTGTGGCTTCTGGGGCATATTCAGACGCAGTACCTAGGAAGACTCCAGTGAAGGCTTTGTCTATGTAATCACACATTGGCCTCATGTGGTTATGAGTGGACCGAGCAGCTTATTTTCATTTTTGGTGGACCACAATCATAAATTCACCCAGTCCCATTTTGTTTGGACATTTTTAAAACAATGCATGAATAAATTGTATTTAAATTAAATGCATTTTGTATGCACTTTTTATACATAAAACACCTATTTTTCAATAAAGTTTCACACCAAAACTGCACTGCAAAATTCAGATAAGTGCATAATCCAACTGGGAATTTTGTTGTGAGCTGTAAGCAAATACAGAAGTGTCATACCAGGTCAGTGTGCTGCAGAAAGCAGACCAAATGCATTCTTCCCCCATTCCTAAATGTGGTTTTAAAATGTGACAATTACTCAGAGGGAGAAGTGTGATGAGTTGCCACATTTATGTAATCTGTAATCTAAATGTATCAAAATAAGAATTATTTTCACAACCATACCTTTTATAATGAAACACGCACAGAGTCAGACTGCCTATTCTTGCCTCCTGGATACTTATTTAGTAGTAGGATACAATCTAGCAGTCGTTGCTCTTGCATCACGTTGGGCTATCTTTTTAAAGGGAGATAGGAGTCGCATGATAGAAGATAAAGGGAGATAGGAGTCGCATGATAGAAACATCCCATGATGTTCTCTCTAATTTATTTTGGCCCAGTGTTATCTCAGTTTTGCAAGTCATCTTGATTACATTCTCCAACTGAACATCACAACTTTAGACTTTTGAATTAATGTTGTAGTTATTCTTACCCAAACCCTCACAACAGTTCCCCTTAGGATTTACATATTAGTCTCTCTCTCTTTTTGGTTCACATCAGTTTCACATGTGTTTATTTGTAAGTCTATTCCATTCTGCTTCCACATTAATCTGCTGTTTCTTAAAAATGCACATGGAGGACATAAATATGTATTTCTGGAAGTATTTCCCCCAAAAAATATGCCTTTCAAAATTTCTCTCAAAGTATGCATTTCTTCTCTCTCTCTCTCTCTCTCTCTTAAAAAAGGCTTATCATAAAATATTCATCTTTATACTACATTGGAACATTTTAAAAGCCAAAAACTGCAATGCAAAACCCACAGAAGTACAAAATCCAAAGGATAACTGTGTTGTGATCTCCGCATTAGTCTGGGAGATGCAGAGCAGATCAGTTCCTATCAGAAATCACAAAGAACAAATTCCTCAAGCAACCCTAGTTTTCTTCAGGCAGATGATTCCTTGTTGAATTGCTTTTGTTGCTAGGATTCCTATCTTCCCACTCACATTCAGCTTAAAGCACCAGTTGTTTTGCCTTCCCTTGATGATGTCCTTTTGAATGTTTGAAAACTCAAAACATTCTCCCACCCCCCACCCCCCAAAACCCCACATGTTATAATCAGTTTGGTGAAGTATATAGGGTTGCATCCAGTGTTGCTGTTCTACTTCCACAATGGCACTTCCTCCTTCTCTCCCCTGCAACCCTCTGTGCACCCTCAAATTCTCTTCCAAAAGGCTGGGGGATATTCTGGGAGGGGTGAGCTCAGGGAAGGGAGAGGAATTGGAAGCCCCATTCCATAAGTGGAAGATCACTCATGTAGCATTGGATACTCATAGTGTTGAGTTTGGACTGAGAAACCCATATTCAGATGCCCATTCAGCTTTGAAGGTCACTTGACTCTAACTAACCACACATGAGAATAAAATGGTAGGATGAACAGGACTGCTTTGGGGTAGAGTGAGAGGTGACTAAAAACAAAAACAAAAAACCTCCTCATGTTTTGTCAGATGCAACATACAAAAAAGAAACTTCCTTCCCCCCTCCCCCTCCCCAAAAGAGTACAACACAACATGCAAGGATGAGTGGAATGTATAAACATGCCATTACACAAACTAGATACAAGTAGAAGAGAAGAAGAAGAGTTTGGATTTGATATCCCATTTTATCACTACTCTAAGGAGTCTCAAAGTGGCTAACATTCTCCTTTCCCTTCCTCCCTCACAACAAACACTCTGTGAGGTGAGTGGGCCTGAGAGACTTCAGAGAAGTGTGACTAGCCCAAGGTCACCCAGCAGCTGCATGTGGAGGAGTGGAGACGCGAACCCAGTTCTCCAGATTACGCCTCCACCGCTCTTAACGAAGCTGGAGGTGTAACAGTGACTAGCTAAATGCCTCTAGGATGTCCAAAGGCAATAACCATCCCAGTCAAATGTGCAGGGTATGAATAATACAACAACAACAACAACAACAACCCCTATTTGTTCACACCAGGCATCTGGGATTCAGAGCTATACAACTTGGGAACACAGAGGAATTGGTTATCATCGCTAATAGCTTGTTTATAGACTTCTCCTCCATTAATTTGCCTAATATTTTTAGAAGTCATCTAAGCTAGTTCCCAGGGCAGGAATGGGGAACCTGTGACCCTTCAGACATTGTTGGACTCCAACTCCCATCAGCGTCAGCCAGCATAATGATTATGCAGTGTCCAATATTGTACATCTTTTTTTCTAAACTGAATCTGCTGCCTGGCAATTTTAACTGAATAATTCCTAAGTAATAATTTTATGAGTAAGAAAAATAGCTACCACTTCCATAGCAATTTGTAATAAAGGAAACCATTCCTATTTGCATCTGTGGGAATGATATCATAGCTAAATTACACTGTTTGGATAGGATAGACTACTTACTGATATGTTTGTGGCTCAATGCACATGTAATAGCTACACTGTGCACATAACTGGAGATTTACTTATTGTGTCAGATTTAGCTTATGAAAATGGATGGTATGGTTCCATGGCAATTGAGCCTTGGTGTAGACAGTAAAGCATTCAAACAAATGAAAAATGTGTTATGAGTGCTATGAGTAAGTGCAATCTATGTGCATCTATTTTGTTTGTGCCAGCTGGCCTTCATTGCAAGAGACCTTAACCAAACTTTTGCTGTTGAAGGCCAATTCTCCAAAAGTAATTTCGATCTCTCCTCTTTTCTGAATTAGGGATTTGATGCCAAGAACTCTCGATGGGCAGATCACCATGGAGAAAACTCCCAGCTACTTTGTCACCAAGGAAGCCCCGGCTCGCATCTCTGCCATGTCGAAGGGCACCAAGCTCATTGTGGTGGTGAGAGACCCGGTCACCAGAGCCATTTCTGACTACACGCAAACTCTGTCCAAGAAGCCTGACATCCCCACCTTTGAGAGCCTGACCTTCAAAAACAGGACTACGGGCCTCATTGATACCTCCTGGAGTGCCATCCAGATTGGCATTTACGCCAAGCACCTGGAAAACTGGCTCCTGTACTTCCCCATTGGGCAGATCCTCTTTGTCAGTGGGGAGAGGCTAATCAGTGATCCGGCTGGTGAGTTAGGCCGAGTCCAGGACTTTCTGGGCCTCAAGAGGATCATCACGGACAAACACTTCTACTTCAACAAAACCAAGGGTTTCCCATGCCTGAAAAAGGCTGAAGGCAGCAGCAAGCCCCACTGCTTGGGCAAAACCAAGGGGCGGACCCACCCCAACATAGACCAGGAAGTGGTCCAGAGGCTGCGGGAATTCTACAGGCCCTTCAACATGAAGTTCTACCAGATGACTGGACATGACTTTGGCTGGGATTGAGGCTGGGGAAAATAATAATTTAAACAAATAAAAAGGAAAAATATATTTTTGTACATATCAAAAGAGAGGGGAAATTAATATTTGTGCTAATGTCTGGTGGTTCCAATTAATATTTTCATTTTGATGCACATATTATGGTTTTCTCTTTTTCTTGTTTTGTTAGTCAGGTTTTGTAGCATTCACTTCCACAAGGCTGTCCGTTGAGATCTGGCCACTGCGTCCAGTATGGGTCTGCCTCTTTCCAATTTTCCATTTGACATCTTTGAGGTTTTTGTGAAGTAATTTGGCACTATTTGTCTATTAATTCTGGGTTCTGTGCCCAGATTTTTAACAAAATGGCACTAATCGGTCACGCTGGTGACCAAAATAATCAGGTTTGGAAGATATTTTCCTAGTTCTACTGCTCTGGCATGACATGCTGTATGAGACTCAGATGTCAGCCTTATAAAATGATATGTCATAAGAGTCTGGAGTGGGATCCATTTTTATTTCACTTTTTTAATTTGAGAGAAAGTTTCATGATGTGAATTCAGTAAACAGCTTGAGAGGGGACTGTTTGATTTACAAAATTCTTCACTCCTTTCTTCCCCAGCTGACTTCATAAGGACGCTGCCAGCATCCACTCCTGGCATGTACCCCAATAGTGCCCAGCACAACCAGAAAGAGAAGGGTTCTCTCTAGCCCAAATACAGCATTATCATTTCCCAAGATGTAACAACGGTTCTCTGTTTCATCTACTGAAGCTAAAGCACACCCTTGGGAATGGGTCATTAGGCATTTACTGAAGAGTGGTGTGAGGCCTTGTCCAAACATATGACTCCAAACCTAGATGTTTTCTCAGAGAAGATCCAATATCCAAACTAATTAAGATAAAGTATCTTCATTATAGTTCGAAAGGCTTTTCAAAGCCTTATCCCTCTACCCCCAACGAACCCACCTGTTGTCTCCGTAAAACCTTGTATTAGCTCAGATTTCTCTACCCAGAGCCCAGTGACAGCTGGGCTGAGTGGAAGAGTCAACAGTAGGAAGAGAGAAAACTAAGTCATTTTCTCTGTCATCTCCCCCACTTAAGCACAAGGGGTCATGAGGTTACCACTCACTACCTTCAGCCAACCCACTCGGCCTCCTGTCTCTGCTCAGAATGGCTCATCTCTAGCCTTAAGCCCTTTCCTGGCAGTGTCTTGTGCCATAAAACATCTGGGTAAACATTCAATAATCACCCAAACAAAGAAGGGAAAGTAGTTAATTGGTCACTTGAGAATGTAACATATGACAATGCTGGCTTGCTCCCGCTCACAGCAGTTCTTCTGTCTGAGAGTCTTCTGAGAGCTTGATTCATCCCAAAAACAGTGATCAGCCATTGGGAAAAAGTACTGTCTGGGGACTCTAAAAGGGAGGGGGACCATCAGAACTAGCTGTGTTATTATACTGCCATGTGCCCTGAAATGGAGACTGGTTTACAATACACTTGGTACACTGGGTACCAAGTAATACCATGGCCCTCTTTTGACCTGGTTCATCTCCCACATCCAAAACTACAGCAGTGAATCATTTCCCATTATTGAAAAACAACAACATAGAGATATTTCAATAAACTTGAAAGCCTATGTCACCTTTTAAGGAGCTAACAGTTATTGATATTGGTGACAATTTAGGCACATTGTTCCTGATAAGTATTTTCAGCCATCCATGAATCTGGAAGGGTGACAACTTGACCCTAATCAGGTTGCACAGCTTTGCAATGTATGAGGAAACATCTCTATATCCTAACTATATCCCAGTGTCATGGTTTGTAATTGGCCTGGCACAACTAATGCTCACTGGGACCTGGCAGAACAATATGAGGACTAGGCTGAAATTAGAACTGGAGACCTGGGGTAATTATACTTTGGTCTCTGTTAATATTTGTTAACACTGCAGGTCTCAAACTGAGATACCTCAGGTATCATACATTGGTGTTTCTGTCACATTTCAAGTTCTATGGGCCAAACTAGAATTGACCTTGGCTGACACATTTCTTTTCATGTGTCTGCCCTGTTTAAATACAAAGCGAAGGATGAAAGTCTTCTTTTAACAGTAAAAGAACACATGGGAAAAGAACAGCCAGCCCTCCCACCACCGATACCTTCTTTTCCCTCCATCCATTGCTCCAATCAGTGTTTTCCACTCCCATCTCCCATCCACCAGAGCAGCCAGCTCCAGGGCATCAAGGCGCAGAATGGAAAAGGATTAGGTAGCCCTTTCGCACATACTCCTTTTACCCAGCACACCCATTTCACGTGTGAACAGGGTGATCACTTAAATGTCCCATCGCATCTAGTTTGGCCCTAAGTTGTCCTTGTCAGATATTTTTTAATCATCCCCCCCCAAAAAAAATCAAACCGATATAGAGCATGTCATACACATTATGTACCTCTTTTTCATGCTATATCCTAGCAAAAGAATTGGGTTTTGTGGCTAAATGAAAGCTCTCTTCAATGACAGCAGTGAACACATGACCAGAGGATATGTGGATGAGTTGTTTCACGCACCATTTCTTCAATCCAAACATTTTAGAACTCTGCAAAATCAGGATTCTAAAACAGGTTTGGAGCCTCAATGAATACAAAAGACTCCATGCTTCAGACAGATGGAAGGCAACAAAAATGGTGACAAAGCAGGGCAGATCTAACGTGCTCATTGTGTTTGCTCCTGCCACACGCTTACTGATGCCTGAAGAGGGTTGAAGGATTTGAAATCTCTCTCAAACAGGAAGTAAGACACTGTTTCTTTTTAGATGCCAAGGTAGATCAGTTCCATAATGACCTAATAACTGGGGATGGCCGAGTTTGTTTCCTGTAGAATTCTCTTGGGCTTCAGTTAGGGTTTCCTGATTAAAACATGACCTCTTTTGATTGGGACACCTTGGAACAGCAATCTCTACAGATGACATGGAGCTAGCATGTTCTCAAGTGAGAGATGACCACATTGCCATTTTACAGAATTGTGATATACAAAGAGGTGAGCAGCAAAAGGACAGGAGAGGTTGTCTTGTTTGTTTATGTGTGGGGTCATCTTTGTGTAGAATAATTGCAGCTTCCGTTCATTTCCAGACAGCTTACAGCCAAGTACCAGCTTGTAGTTTGCATATCACTTTGTGGCTGTTTTCTCTGTTAATACAAGGCTGAATTAGGGCCTTGGTGCATATGGGCTTTACTGTGTCCCTGTGGAGTGATGTTTCATAATAACTAACCCCAATCAGTTTTGTATTGAGAAGCACACACTATAACACTCCTATGCAGACAATCTGAAGGATGCAGCTTGTCAATATTTCTCCAAAGGGTTGTTTCTTGCTGGCATATATACAATGAACTAAAAAACTATGTACAAAACTAAATTAAAAGCCAGATTGTAAAGGAGCCTGTTGAGCGAGTCTTTTACCTCTTAGCACACCTGGTGTAATAAATGCAAATGGATATGGCATTAATTTATATTTTGTGGAATCTATGACTCCTACTCAAGAGCATACTTTCTGAAGTTATTTATTTTAAATAGTTATTACTTTATCTCTCCTTTTCTATCCAGTATATAAGGTATACCATATAAGGCCTGCCAAGAAAGATACCCATGTCTTTTTTATTAACAGAAAATAAATCTTCTTTCCTTTGTACATACTATTTTATGTTATTTCTTTGTGTTGTAATCCTCTCATTTCCTCACTTTGATGCTATTTCTGTATGAGCTGAAATACTTTTTAATTTAATTTAAGGCTGAAAAAGCACATGTTTTAATAAACCTTACGGGTATTGAGAGGCACTGTGCTGTCTTTTTTGGCTTTGACACAAAGCGTGGGGGAGAGAGAAGATGTGAACCTGGGCTATTTCGTAGTCATCACAGTTTTAATAAAAATTCTCTGATGTCTGATTTTTATATACATAGTAAATATGAAGACCCATTTAAATAGAGGGAGTCAAAGCTGCAGCCTCAGAATGCTGCAAACTGGCATCACTTTACTTGTGTGATGAGCAGAACCATGGTGTTGATGCTGAAAGCAGATGCCAGTGAGGGCTTAGCCCTGCCTTGCCCAACCTAATGCTCTCCAGATGTTTGACTCCCATCAATCTCAGCCAACATGGCCATATTTTCAGGAGTGATGGGAGTTGCAATCCAGCAACATCATGAGGGCACCAGGTTAGGGAAGCTTGGCTTAGCCAAAGTCATAGAAGAAAGAGATACCGAACAACCAGTTTTTAACAGTTCAACCAGCAAAAATATATTGCAGAATGTGTGAAATGTCAGTAGCATCTCGTTTCCAGATGCTATCAGGCTTCACCCATGCCTGACCAGATCCTGCTAAACACATTGGCTCCACTTCCATCCCTGTCTGTTTGTTTAGAATTCTTATATATACCATTTTAAATCATGCATATTGATGTATACTTTCCATAAAAGGATGTGTAAAAAACAAATCAAAAATCATATGAAACATACATAATAATTAACAACTATTTCACTCCATTTAAAAGTAGTACAAGAAATGTCCAGGCAGGAGAAAACAGAATAAACATTGTTGTGATACCTATCACTTCATTCTTCTGCATTATTTACACATTCATTCATTTCTTCACAAAGCATTTATAGACCACTTCATTGTTTAAAAATCTCTAAGCAGTGTACACTATGAGCAAAACACCCCCAATGTCAATTAAAACAAAAATACAACCAATAAGTAGGTTGTACAGACCAATCTTCTGGGGCAAAAGAGGAAATGTGCTACAGAAAGTCAGAAAGAGGTGGACCTCATGAATAGTGTTAGTGAAGTTGTGCATTTTCAAGGGCTGCCCAGTTCTTCAAAGGGCTATGTGTTGATGCTGGCATGTCCACAAATTCAGTGGTTAATGAAGCAGGAATCTAATGGAACAGAGGAAGCTGCCTTAAATAAATCTGTCTAGTGGTCGGTTTCAATTACTACTGACTCCTCCAGGTATGGTGAACTTGTGGCTCTCCAGCTGCGGTTGGACTACCAACTTCCATCATCTTCAATCTTTGGCCATGGTGACTGAGGCTAATGGAATTTGGAGTCCCAGAACATCTGGAGAGTCACAAGTTACCCACCCCAAACTCTCTGCACTGACTGGCAGCAGTTCTGCAAGGTAGGGATTTCCCTAGGTCTACCTAGAGATGCTGGGGATTGACTGGGGAGCATCTGCATGCAAAGTATGCTTCTACGACTGCCCCGAGAAAGCAGATGGTCACACTTCACTTCGGAAATGTTTCAGCAAAAGCATATTCGGTGGTTTGGCAATCAAATATCAAATTTTCAGTGTGGTGAGGTAAAACGAGATTTCTATTTATTTTTTTACTTGCACAGATTAAATCCCAAGAAAATACACTCCTGTACCTCAGAACATTCTATTAAATTCCTGCCGTTTCATATAAATCTTTATCCTTGGACAGAAAAACATCCTATTACTTTTCCTGAGCTTCTGCATTTTGTCTTTTAATTATTGCTATTGAGAGTTCATAATGTAGGCTCAGCATTCCTCCCAGGTAATATTTATCTAGATTTGGACTGAAGGACTTGAGCTTATAATGCAAACATAAGAAATCCTCATTAAGGCTTTGGGGAGGAAGGGACTTGACTGGATATAGTACAACCTGGGGGGGGGGTTTAGTAAGGAAGATTTTTCTCTCTCTCCTCTCTTTTTCAACATCCTCCATTTTCAGAACTGGCCCCAGACATTTTGCTGCCTGAGGCAGAACAGCAAATAGCATCCCTTCTCCTAAAGCATGAATCTTCATACCCAAGAAAGACCTGGGGTTTTTTGATACCTGAGAAAGAAAAATCCCATGAATGCCTCTGCCTAGGAGAAAATGACAACAACAAAACAACAGAAAATGTAACCATTTGCTGCCCTCTGATGACACTCAAAATCATCTGTCTGAGGTGGTCACTCGGTCTAATGGTAGGTCCATCCGTGGCCATTTTATGTATGGTTATATTAATACAAAAATGATTGCCTTCTTAGACTTTAGCAATGCCATTCTTAAAATTATTATGCCACCAGTGTTTGTGAACTCAGGTTCTTCTCTGGACTTAAGCAAATCATTGTTTCTCAGCATAAGTTCCTTATGGCAAATTGAGGACAAGAGTGTACCAACATTTCCCCCATGATTTATAGTTTTTCTTCCTCCTGGCTGAGATTGCTTCTGATCGTTCCTTCTCAGCTTCCCTTCAGCGCGTGTGTGAGAGGGGGGATTTTTCTCTGAGATGCCATATCAAAGGGTGTGTTGTTTATCACCCTACGTTGCCCCTTCCCCCAACAGGAGAATATCTAGAGGCAATGTTTGCCCAGCAGAAAGAGAATAACAGATTACTGGAGCAGCAGACCAAGAAATACAACAACCACATACCCCCTACCTCCCAGCCACCAAGTAGAACAGCAGAGCCTTTGAGATTAGAAGCAAGGATGGTACAGATGGAGGCACCCTGTGTGCAAGTGTTATATGGGTCCTGGCCATACACCACTGCCCAGATCACATGCCTCCCTTGCCCTGAAGTATTACAATAGGCATCCCCATTTTGTTCCTCCTTGAAGGTCTGGGTGCAGCACAATAGTGCATCTCTATGACTTGGCCGAAGCATCAGGAAACCTTCAGGCTGTGGTTTCTTGTAACGAAACCCTCTGAGCAATTCACATTTTTCAGCATCATTCAGCAATGTTATGTTTTAGATGAGATGTAGTGACTCCCCTGCCTTTCTTGTTAAAAGAGGGGAAGATATGCAGGAACCCCCAAACTGCCTCACAAAGATCCCGAACCTTATAATCTTTGAATTACCAACCTACCTTTTTTATTTGCTTCCAATTTGCTATCATAAACCCCATCTGTTTCCCTTGGCAGCTCCTTCACCACATAAAAATGCAGCACTGCAATGATGCCTGTGGCTTATGGATCCAAAGCCAGGATCTTAAGGGAGAAAAATGATGGGAGCACATTAAAGATTCTCTTTCTGAGAAAAAGGCTGCAAACTATGTTTGATGAGGTAGGTAAAATTAGTTGGAGGATCTACCCAGTACAAAGAGTTCCTCTCGATGTGCTTTGCAGCACTCTTAAGGATTATCTGTCAGCAAACCACAGGGGCTTCAGACCCAAACATTTGAGCTTAGGAAGGGAATGCTTTTTGTGGTGTGTGTGTGGCACAGATTGGTGAGGCACCAGTTGGAGTCACTTTATGCTATGTCACATACCAAAGCCTTGATGCCTCCCATTACATTACATTACATTACATTACATTACATTACATTAAAGGTAAAGGGACCCCTGACCATTAGGTCCAGTTGTGACCAACTCTGGGGTTGTGGCGCTCATCTCGCTTTATTGGCCAAGGGAGCCGGTGTACAGCTTCCGGGTCATGTGGCCAGCATGACTAAGCCACTTCTGGCAAACCAGAGCAGCACACGGAAACACCATTTCCCTTCCCGCCGGAGTGGTACCTATTTATCTACTTGCACTTCATGCTTTCGAACTGCTAGGTTGGCAGGAGCAGGGACTGAGCAATGGGAGCTCACCCTGTCACAAGGATTCAAACCGCCAACCTTCTGATTGGCAGGTCCTAGGCTCTGTGGTTTAACCCACAGCGCCACCCGCATCCCAGATACATTAAATTAGGGTGGTCCTAATTTCTACAAGACTGTACTTTGCTTCAAGAGTGAGCATCTTATGACCTTATGAATGTTGTTGGTCTACAATTCACATTATCCCTGACCATTCCTAGTTATGTGAATTGCTAACTGCAGGGTGTGGATTCATCCAGTTTGGGACCATGGCAGGAGCTAAGAGTTAAAGCACTCTTTCTCCTGCTACAGTCCCCCCATGGCCTCTGTTTATTTTTTTGTTAAAATCACAAATTTCTTTGTTAAAATTACCAGCTGCATGAATAACATCACATTCAGTTTGGCCCTTAAGTTGTATTCCTTTTGAAGACTGCATAGTGCATTATCAAGAAGGTCCAGGATTAGGGGGAAAAGAAGGGACAAAGTAGTCAGCCCAAGAGTGAGGGATAAACTGATCTCTAATAGCTGTTTCTGCTGGATGTTGTGTTTATCAAACAGTTGATAAAAGGATGATTCAGGCATTTGAAAACATACATAAAGAACTCCCCAGCCTCAGAGATCCACCATAAACTAAACAGCACCCTGTTTAGTCTCTGTATTCTTCCAGTACTGCCATTTCCTCCAGTGAATTATAGCCATGGGAAACATGTTGGCTTCCAATTATTTTAGCCTGTGGCAAGCCAGCAATACGAACACATAAGCACTGTTGGATCAGACCAAAGGCCTGCCTAGTCCAGTATCCTTTTTCCCACAGTGGCCAATCAGATGCCTATGGGAAGCCCACAAGCAGGAGATGAGGGCTGTTCTCCCCCAGAGACTAGTATTCTGAGGCATGGAGTATCTTATTCTGGAGGCAGCATCATGACTAATAACCACTGATAGCCATACCCTCCAGTCATTTTCTAATCTGCTTGTAATGCCATCTAAGTTGGTGGGCCATCACCCTATCTTGTGGTAGAGAATTTTATAGTTTTAACTACGCACTGAGTGAGAAAGTACTTCCTTCTCCTGTCATGTTCAGCTGCCAACGACTGCAGAGTTTGGTTTCTTGGCATACCATTGGTGGGGGAAATCACCTTTGTAGTGTGCCAACAGCCAAATCCAATGCATGCCAGGAGATGTGCACGAGTGACAAGCCAAAGACTGAAGCAGCTGGAGCCAACCTGGGCAAGATATATTTTTTTCCCCTATGGCCACACG